TTGCTTTTCCAGATTATACATGTAATGGCTGCTCCAATAATCTGGATCTTTTCAAAGGTGGTCTCAGTTGGTTCTCTTTCTTTATAGACAAGAACACATTTTTTTCCTGGTTCTTTGGATGTGGAGTTATTTTGGATTACATCTTAGACTTTGTGGATGTAATGTGAAGATTTTAGAATGTTATATTCTTCTAAAAGTGTTGAGATATATATATAAACAAATATATTTGTATATATATATATATAAACAAATAATTGACTTGATTTTATTAAAATGATGAATTCAGTCTCAAATCTTATTGCAGTTCTTTTATCTTATTGGGGCTTCTTGAATCTGTTCCATATACACATGGTTCAGGGGCTACTAGAAATTTGGGCAGAGTGTGCACTGACCAATTTGTGGCTTTTGCTTCCTAGCTCCTCCCCCTTCCTCAGGTTCCCTTTCCATTTTACAGTAGTTGTGCTTGCCCAAAACTTTTCTGGCTCTTCAGACCAAAAAACTGCAGATTTTCTATCAGAGTTTTAACCCATGCAGCATTGACTTTCCTAGCAAATCCATAAACGTGGGCAGTTTACAGTTGTCCTTTTCCCAAGTTTCAAATCCTATCTTGAATCTATCTGCTTTGTTACATTAACTAGTGCTTGTTTTCTGATTTTGTCCAGGTTTATACCATTGTTTGTAACAGAATTTGATCTGATTGGGCATATCAGAATTATAACCTTAGATTTCTTTGGAAAATTATTTTTTATACACCAAGAAAAATTTCACTTGTCAGAAACACTTATGAAGTCTACTTTAATAAAGAAAAATCTCTAGGTTATATTTTTAAAACTCCATTCTCTTCCACGTTTTTATATCATAAATTGAGATTTTTATGCTTTTGAAACAGTGAGGTACACAAAATGGTACAATTTGATAGACTGATATATGGAGAAGCAGGATCATTTCCCATAACAGAGTTATATACAACAGCCTCTAGAGATAAGTGATGAGAGATATTAGTAATATCAAACATTACTTTCTCTCTTGAATTAAGACTCTGCAACAGTACCCCTTATTCTTAGCCTTAGTTTAAAATTGGCAGGATACACATTTTAAAAAAAATTTCTGTTCATTTATTTACTGCTTAGCCCATTCTTTCTTCACTACTTTATCACTTCAGTCAACAGATTGCCAGTATCTAGAGACAAAATTGTACAATGGAAACAAATAACTCCATTTCTATTGAAATTAAACTTAAGGCTCATAAAATAATGCTAATAACCTTGCTTGCACTATTATTGGGAAATTATAACTTTCAGTGAACAAACACTGAGATCATGTTAATCAAAGAGTAAGGTGTTTCCCTGAAACACTATGTGTTCAGCAGTTTTTTTTTCTATTATGTTGTTGTTGCATTTACTTATTTTTATATTTAAATTTTTTTCTATTTTCATAGAGAAGAATATTGCTGAATTTATTTATTTATTTATTTTTGAGTTGGAGTCTCACTCTGTCACCCAGACTGGAGTGCAATGGCCGCTCCTGGCCACCACAGCCTTGACCTGCTGGGCTCCAGCGATCCTTCTGCCTCAGCCTTCCAAGTAGCTGGAACCACAGGTGCGCGCTACCGCGCCCGGCTAACTTTTTGATTTATTGTAGAGATGAGGTCTCACCAAGTTGCCCAGGCGGGTCTCGAACCCGCGGGCTCAGGCAATCCACTCACCTCAGCCTCCCAAGGCGTGGGATTACAGGCTGAGCCACCAAGCCCTGCTTTGCTGAATTTAGATCTTGGAAGTGTTCATTGTAGTTAAGTGTGAGGATACATATTATTTTCAAAGTATTTTTAATGTATTACTTATTTTGTATTATTTCAAGTATTGTTATGAGAGTTGTCTACACTTTCATGAAAACTCTAGTTGAGAGAACTTAAATATAGTTTGTACAAAAAAACTATGGATAATACCACTCACTATAAACATGACCTTTTATTTTATTTCATCTCAAACTTATTTCAGTTGTCTTTTTTTTGAAAGAAATTCTCTCTTAGATTTCTTCTGAGATTGTCATTCTGAAAAAAACTTTTCCTCCAGAATGTGGGCTATCCTTTTTTCCTCTATAAAAGTAGCCCTCCTCATTGATATATTTATTTTTATTTATTGAAATGTCTCCATTTCTAGTCTTGTTGATTTGTTTTAAAAAATGTGAATGTATATCTCCCAACTTAAAAAAATTATAGTTTTGAGACATTTGAAAATGTTTCAATAAAAGCTTAACCTTTTAAACTATATGTAAGAGATATTTAGAATTAGAACTCAAGTCTTCTTTCCAAGGTTGTTATATTTTTAAATATTTTGAGAGTCTGGCACTTCTACCTTCTACTTTTTAAGCAGTAACTGCATTAATATTTTGCATGAAACTGATGAATTTTTATCAGAGTATAGCAAATGGAGTTTCACAGGAGTAGTATGTATGGTAGTATAAAATGGGAAACTTAGACTTTAATCAAGAAGGAACTCTATACAGTAGTAGAATTGTATTACTACCCTCTCTATAACCAACAGGATGTAGAAAACAGGATGTGATTATTGTAGAGCACACAGAAAAGATATGAAGCACTAAGACCAATTTTGAGACAGAAATTCACCATGATATAAAAAAGAGAAAGGGAAACAACAATACTTCCATAGTAATGGGCAATATCAGTATGCAGTAATTTGCAGTATATTCTGGGGAAGAAAACCTTCATGAAAATCAATTGATAAAGCCTATATTTAAATTACCTTTGCATTTTAAAATGTAATGACAAATCATTTTCTTAGATAAATCAGATTCCTATGAGAATTTTTGCCTTAGAAAAGCCTTAACATGCTTTCTTTTTTTTTTCCATAGTACTTCACTCTTTAAAGTGCTTTATATGTTTTGCTTTTTATGGTTTATATAAACACTGCTCCACAGTGGCAGAGACTTTCATTTGTCCATTGTTGTGTATCCCCAGTGCCTGGATCAATGCTAGATAAGTAGTAGTTAATCAGTAGAATTATATAATAAACATTCTGTAAGACAACATTACGCATTTTACCCTGGAGTATATTTTTATATAAATTTCTGCCTATTTCTAACTAAATAATTGGTAGGAACTCTGAGTTGGTAAAGGACTATACTCTATACATTCCCAGGATACTCTCTTTTCCTTCATGGTTTTGCTGTGTAACTGAATTAGGTGTACCTGGCCTGGTCAACTACAATCATGGCTCTGGTGTCCAGAATGGACAAAACTTTAAGGAAATTCTGTCTTAAATAAGCTTATTACTAGTGTGTGTATTCATACATAACAGTCATAATAGCCATAATCTACCAAATGACAATGTCTATTCTAAAAATTAAAAAAGTATGTAGAAAATAAAACTGCAAAGATCCAGTGTATCAATATATTGATTGAAGCCCAGGAAAAATGATACAAATTCCATAATATTAATTCGCTGCAAAATGTAAGAAAAAAATTGGATACTTGCAAATTATCTTCAGAAATAATTGAGGAGCTGACTGGAATTTCTGAAGTAATGCAGAATATACGTTGGATTATTGTCATTTAGTTCTTGAAGGGAAAGAAAAAACTTCAAAAAGCTGGAGAACTTACAATTTTTTTTGCCTTAAAAATAAGTGTATAGAGGGGCGTAGGAAGCAAGGGAATATATTAGTTGTGATTTATTTGGTTGTAAGTGGTAAAATCTAACTGAAATTAGTTTTTTTAAAATACTAATTTGACTCATAAATGAAATGTGTGTTGGTGAATCTCTTTTTAGCCATAGCTGAATTCAGGAGTTAAAGTGACATCATCAGGCACACTCTTTATCTCAGCTCTTCTTTCATTATGCTTTCCTCACATATTGGCAAGATGTCCAGCAGGAGCTCTTGAGTTCACGCTTTACCAGTTTGTAGACTATTTCAAAAACAGTGTCTCTTTCTAACATTAAGGCAGCATTTTTGAGATTGATTCTGATTAGCACAGATCAGATCACTTGCTGCATTATACCAACAACTGTGACTACAAGAATAGAAATCTTTTTTTTTTTTTTTTGAGTTGGAGTCTCACTCTGTCGCCCAGACTGGAGTGCAATGGCATGCTCCCGACCACCGCAGCCTCAACCTGCTGGGCTCCAGCGATTCTTCTGCCTCAGTCTTCCAAGTAGCCAGAAGCATAGGCGCGCTACCATGCCTGACTAATTTTTGATTTATTGTAGAGACAGGTCTCGCCAAGTTGCCCGGGTGGGTCTCGAATCCGCGGGCTCAGGCAATCCACTCGCCTTGGCCTCCCAAAGTGCTGGAATTATAGGCTGAGCCACCGAGCCCAGCCAAAAATAGGCATCTTTTAAACAAATTGTTATTATTACTGGCAAAACCTTGTCCCTGCTTATCCCTATATTCAGAGGTTTGGATCAGTCCCACTAAGCACAACATGAACTGAGAGTGGAGGACAGTTGGTTCCTCAAAAGAAAAAGATGTATTCTTTTACCACGTATTGCACAGATGTGTAAATTGGCAGCATTGTGTAGGGATGCTGCACAACAAAAATAATGGATATCCACTTCAAAGTGACCAAGAAAGGAGGTAAGGAAAATAAAAGGAAGGGGAAGAAAAGAAATATTTGTAGGAGTGAGAAGCGGAAAGGGCAGGAATATATAGCTAGGGGACAGGATTTCAGAGTTGAGGAAAAGAAAGAGGGGAGGGTGAAGAAGAGGGACAGAAAGAGAGAGAGATGGGAGGGGGGATTCATCTTGCTGAACAACATCCTGACTTTTATGGAACCGACCGACAGACTAGCTTTTGGCTGGAAACAGCAGATAAGGCATTATTTTATACTATAAAGTTCACATGAGCATGGACATCCTATGCTGAAAAGAATGGGATTCTCATCTTTGTTTTTGCAAGCATGCAACCTCTCAATACGGTAGATTTTGCGTGTCTAAATTCAAGAGACATCTGTTCCCTCACTAAAGATATCACATCCTCAAGCTCTTTTATATTTTCAATAAATGCAGATGTCTGCTGAGGACTTTCTTCATAGCTTCTTTCACCTCCTTATTTCTCAGGCTGTAGATGATGGGGTTTAACATTGGGGTTATCACTCCATAAGACAGCCCAATGATCTCATCAGATGTCTTTGTGTCTTTTGACTTGGGCTTCATGTACATGAAAAGGGCTGAACCATAGAATAAAATGACTACTGTCAAATGGGCTGAACAGGTAGAAAAGACTTTCTTTCTCCCTTCAGCAGAATTAATTCTCAGAATGGAAGAGAGGATGAATATATAGGAGATAAAGATTAACAGTAGAGGTATCACCAATAAAACAATACTTGCCACTGCCATGATAAGCACATTAATAGAGATATCTGAACAAATGAGTTTAAGAAGAGCCAGAATCTCACATGAAAGATGATCAATAATATTATTCCCACAGAAAGGCAACACCATTGTCAGGACTGTCTGTACTAGGGAGTTCAGACAGCCTACGATCCAGGACCATGCAGCCATTTGCACACATAGCACCCTGTTCATGATGATGGAGTACCTCAGAGGGTTGCAGATGGCCACATACCGATCATAGGCCATCATAGCCAGGAGGACACACTCAGTGGAACCCAAGCCAAGGGAGACAACCATTTGCAGAGCACAGCCCATGAAGGAGATGGATTTTCTTTCAGACATAAATATAATAAGCATTGTAGGAATGGATGATGATGTGTAGCAGATGTCCAAGAATGAGAGGTTTCCAAGGAAGAAGTACATGGGGGTGTGGAGGTGAGAATCCAGGATGCTAATGATAATGAGGAGGCTATTTCCCAGAAGGATTGTTATGTACATGATGAGACAGAGTATGAACAGAAAGAGCTGAAGTTCTGGATATTGGGAAAGTCCCACCAGAAAGAATTCAGTTACAGCAGAGTAATTTCCTGTCTCCATGTGTTCATGTCACCTGCAGGGTTTAGAAAATGACATGACTCAGAGAAACATAAACTTCTGATGCAGATTTTTAACACAGATTTACTTCCAATATTATGTTTGGTTCTTAGAATACTCTTATACAATCAAAAGGGCAGGGATATTATACTAATTTTATTGCTGATGAAAATTGAGGCACAAAACCCCCAATATATCTTAGAACTATACAAAAGCACAATCAAAGATACCAATACTGCTAGAATTCTTATGGGAAGTGTCAAATAAAATTTAGGAACAGATACTTTCAAAAACCTGCTAAAAGTCTGAGAATCATTGGAAGACTGTTCTAGAAGCTTCCAAGATTGAGAAGTCTAAAACTCAGGTTGTACAGCTTTTTTTCCCCCCAATGCCTCGGATTCACCCTTCTCAAGTATAGTATTATTCCCATTTTTCAAAGTGGGAAACAGAGACAAAGAAAAACTTAAGCAACTTTTTCTAGGGCCTACAGATAATAAATACTTAAGTCAGAATTTATTATCCTGCCATCTGGACATATCCCTCTTAACCACTCTTACTGTACTGTTTCTCATAGATTGCCACACTGATTCCAAGCAGGAATACATTGTTTAACCAAGGTACTGTTTGCTGTGTTACACTGAGATAGCAAACACCACTAACTTGTGATCCTGATCATATATAGTATGAGGTAGAACTCTGAAGGATGGACCACTTACTATTTCCTCTAGTTTTTGGAGTGTGTTCTGCTTAGTTTTCTGTGTATAGAAGGCAATTTGACAATTATGAAAAGTAGTATGTTCAAGAATAATTATAGGAAAGTCCTACCATAACCTTTTCTTTTATCAATAACATCTCTGGCCCTTGTCTTTACTCTGCAAATTCAAATGCACTTTAGAGACTTTAATGGGCCTTTTTGCATTAACTGTCCAATTGATTATTTCAATTGAGAAACTCCTTCCACTTGCAACATTAGCACCACATCATTGAAAACTCAATGTCTCCATTTGTTTCATGTTCAGTGTGTTAATGTATAAGCATCTTGTTAAGATGGCTCAGCGTTGTGTTAAGATGACATATAAAGAGCTATACCTTATACCTTGTTAAATTTGCTGTGGAAGCTATATTTACTTGGCTCTTGTTGCAGAATGAGAATATTGCTTACTAATCTCATTCTGACCTTGCAACCACACCTTTGCTTTGTCTTTTCTATTTCTAGAGACCCTGAAGAAAGGATTAGTATTTAGTCTTTGGCTAGTCATAGATTAGAACCTTCCTGGTGTTCTGTTAGAGAGATGAAAGGCAAAGTTCTTTTCTATCCATTCCCTTTCCATAGTCTTGATCTTCCCCAAGAGTACTACCAAGAATGTGATTGGGGGGAGATTTAAAACGCGGTGATGATACCACTAGGTCAGTATATGAAAAATATTCTTTTGTCCTGTAGCTCTAATTCCTGTCTCTATTTACACAGGCACATTGCCTTGATTCCACAAAAGGGTTAGTTAAGATAGTAGTTTTAATTTGATAGAGCACAGCTGATTGTAAGTAGAGGAAGGAGGAAGGAGAGAAGAGGTGAAAAAGATATATTTTCTCTGGTGTATAAAGAGTACTAAACTTAGCATTGGTATCCTAGGAGGTGGGAATGTTGAGGATCAAAAAATGGAGGAAGAATGGTTAGCTCTCTTCCTCTTCAGAAAAGAAGCCAGGTGAAGGCCATATTTTAAAATTTAGATCAAAACAGGAGAAATGAAAACAATAACTTCACCAAAAACATTGAATCAATCTATCATCCTGACCTATTTTAACCTAGTCAGCTACCTATCTCCCATTTATACCATTTCTACTCTCATGATGGTATTAAGGGAGGAGTTATTAGGGAAGCTTTGTTTCCCTATGATCTCTCTCAGTCTCTTCACAAAAAACAACCTAATAGAAAAAGACAATTTGTGGGGGAAAATGCGCTTGCCGTGCATCTTCAAGGAAAGTTTTCTAGTTCATCCTCTAACCTCATTGCCATATCTGGGTACTCTAATTCTGGAGCTACTGCTGACACCTCAAATGCTCTGGAATGACCATGCTGAGTTTCTTTCAGTCTCCTCATAATACTGCACTCTTTTATTTTTATACATTTTCACATGGTGATTTTTTTTTAAGCTAGAAGGTATGCTCCTAACTCAGCTACTACCTTTTCTAGGAAATCTTTCTCACCTCCTGTTGTGAGGAGGATGTCTCTTTTATGTGCTGTCACAGGACTCTGTACTTATCTCTCTCACAGAATCCTTCATTTATTCAAAACAAACCATGTTATATATACTATAGTAAGTAATAGGGATCCTATTGTTAGATCTTGATTTTTAGAATAGATACAGAATGCTTATGATAGTTATTTTATATTTTTAAGAAGCAAGTAATTGCTGTATTGTATAACATGTTTCAATATGAAAAAATATGGAACATTTTGCAAAAATAGTTTATCAAACAAAAAATAACCTTGTTATCTTAAACTTTCAAAGATAGACTAAAATTACAGATCAATCTTATTTACAAATATATATATAAAATCATGAGTAAAGTATCTACATTGTATGCTAATATAATAAAATTTATTCCATAAATTGATTAAATTCAAAATTAATGCTTGAAAATTTATCAATATATAATACTAAACAAATAAGCAAAAAAAAAAAAAAAAAGCAAGATGCCAAAGAACAGTTGGTAAGATGCAACATTTATTCTTGATAAAAATATTCTGAGTAATCTAGATGTAGGAGGATACATAATTAAAATGATAAGGATCATCTTTCTCAAATCATTGGGCACCACAATTCAAAGTGATGAAACTCTGGCAATATTTTCTTTCAGGTTTGCAAAGATGGTGTTATCACTAATTTTATCTAACAATTTTTCCCCAGAATGATCCAATCAATAGAATGGAATAAGGAATATCAATGGCATTGTATGTCCTATTATGTTTCATGTTCAATCATAACTTAAACTTGCTGTATTTTTTAAATTCCAGGTTGCTGGTATTCTGGTTTGTAGTGGTGATGGGTTATAAAAACACATGAGAAGAAAATTGGAGTCTTGGAGAAAAGTAAATGAAAAGGAAAATGCCCATGATATAATGCTATGTTAAAAAAGGATATTTCATGACAACACAAATAATCACAAATTTGTATACATGTACTGTGAGAAGCTAAACCAAAATGTTAACCAGTTTTCATAAATACCCAAGGATGAGTGAGAAGGTTATTGGAAAGGAGGTTGGAGAGGGCTTTCTGTTGACTTATGACATATACTGATTTAAAGCCATTTAATATTCTGACTTCAAGTAATCAAATTCACAAGTATATTCACCCTGAGCAGACACACTGACATATTCTCAATTCTTGGAGTAGAGTTCTAGAGCTCATCATTTAGAAGTGACCAAGATGGGTATTTGTAGATAGAACTATAGTATCACACAATAAAAAGATGAAGCAGAAGAAATACTCATGGTGGGGATGGAGTAGGGAAATATTAGTAATTAATATTACCTCAGCTTCTTTATTTCTGGGAAAAAGGCAAAGTTTTAGTATCTTGGCTCTTTTATTTTGTTCATCTTTCTCCAAAGGCTCAGTCTTCAGATTGTTGCTCGTTCATCAATAGACATCACCTACAGATGAAAAGCAAACTCTGCTTAAGGAATATGGATCAGGAAGCAGTCACCCTTCTCCCCATGTTTACCAAAAGGAAAGAATAGTAGTTTGTAAAGCATATGTATTCATTCGTATTCCCTTTATTCCAAGGAACCTCTTAAAACAGGCTTCACTTTATTCCCCTCAGAAGAAAATTGAAAGCATTAAATATTGTATCCTATCTCCTGCTTCAACTAGTTTCCCCTACTGCTTATAAAACAACTTACTCTTCACAATAGCTAACATCCCTTGTGCCAGATCTCCAGTGCATTTCCCAAAACATGAGCCCCTCTGAGTCCCAAGGCACCTAATCATAAACAATAGTGCTCTAGTTAGAGCAAAGTCTTTTCTCTTCTTGTTTCATGGTTTTGAAAATTATCCTGGGTTTTCTCACTCACATTTCTGTTTGGTAATCAAGAATGCTTCTTTTTTGCTGGGAGCTTCAGTGAGTCTTGGGTTCACTACCGGGATTGATTCACCCAGATGTCTTCATGTTCTGAAGATCTCCAGGGCTATGCCAGAGTGCAATAGCCCTGAGTTTCTGAAAGCCTGTGTGCCAGTCAGTGTGTATGTCCTTGTCCCCTTTGATTGCTGATAAAGTAAAGAGAAGTACTGTGTCTTAGCTGTAGGATGCAGATTTCAATCTTGGCTCTTTGGCATATTGGCCATACAAACCTTGGGCAAAAGATTGTCTCTGAGCCTGATGTGTCTTGTTTAATATTGGCTAATGGTACTTAATTTATAGGATTGTTTTGAGGATTAACATAATACACCTGAATGTTCTTGTACAAATTGAGTGCACAATATATGCTCGTTTAATCTGGAACTCTATGTTTATAATCTTTCATTTCCCATAAGAAATGACTTACTTAAAATGATGTTCATATATATCCATGATATTTCCTTCCCCCAGTGATTTCTTATATTTTTCATTGTCTTATTCAGTACTCTAAGATAAATTATTCATAATTGCCTGTTTCTGTTTACCCTTTTCTTTCTGGAAATAGTTCTTCCCTAACGTTCCTGTAATGTTCCTCTTTTCATCTGTATAGGATTCTCATCTTCTTCACTTAAAATAGATAGCGTGACATATTGGGACTTTGATTTTCAAAAAAAGAAAAACATTTTCCACTCTTTTTCATCCCAGTGTTTCACTAACTTTTGTTCCCATATACTGAAGTCACTGTAGTTGGTCCTCCTTAAGCAGTTGACTTCTTAGCTATGTTTCTTTGAGTTATAGCCATACTCTAAAACCCCCAGTCAAGTATCACAATCATAATTATTAGTAGTGGTGTGGGAGAGATAAACAATAAAGCTTTCAGCCCCAACAGAAAGTCA